CCCACACACACACACACATATATATATACACATACACACACACTCACACACACACACATACACACTCACGAATTCACACGCTTCGCTACACTTTGGGACCATTGATTCTGCTTACTACCTTAACAACTACACGAACGCCACCCTTCTAATAATTCTGAGTTTTCTTGTTAACGACACTTAGTTACTAATAATATATTGAAAAGGCGTTTCTTGCACTGCGCGCTTTATCCTGCTTTTAACTGATTCGGTGTGTGTCTTTCTGCTTCCTCTTGATTCTGATGTGAAAACTTACACTGTGCATGCGTTTTATTCTTCAGCAATTTTACATACCCTTTTGTGGTTTCTGGGTTCATTGTGGCCACTACTCCAAGACAAACGTTGGGATTTTTCTTCGTTTGACGTACAAGAAACAAGATTCATTTTGATTGTTTTGCTGTTTAGGCTTTTGACTAAGTTATCAAAGCTATGTTTGTATGATGCACTGTCTTCTGTCTGTCAATAATATACACACTCTAGTGCTTATGACTTCTTGAATGCAGACACCTATGAATGGGGATTAGTGCTAACATTTCTTTGCATTTAAAATACTCGTCTGCATGCATTCCAATAAACGCATTCACATCTTTAAGAATACAACCCACTCTCTCCTTTTTAAAAAGTATTTTACATATTGGAAACAATTTAAAGGCATTTTCCAGTCATTCCGTTTAGCTAAATCTCGAAGTTTTTTAGTCCCGCCATCTTTCCCCCCACCCTCCTTCTCTCTCTCTCTCTCTCCCTCTCTCTCTCTCTCTCTCTCTCTCTCTCTCTCTCTCTCTCTCTCTCTCTCTTTCCGTCTAACGTGTCCAGTCAAGACATCATCTTTCCATGGCTTCTGCCAGTGAGGTGAAAGACCTATAGTAGGCAGATAGCAGTTGTGAAGGTGCCAAAACATCATAATAATATTCACTTCACGATCACGAATATCATTTCAACAAGACAGCATTTACTCCAATTCATATGTTCTAGACTGCACATCTTTTCTCTACAAGTCACCAATCATTTGGACGACCCATGTGTCTTTGCTTTCTGAAAATCATTAAATTTATGTGTTTTTATTTTCTTCTATTTTATATCATTGCACTCTGAAACACACGACTTCAATTTTCTACATTCTTTTCAGTCGCTACGTGATTCCCACAACTAGAAATCTGCCACTGCGAGCCAGTGTGGCTTCTAAAACAATCGGCAGCTTTCATGTCGGGCCAACTGTGATGTTTTTTTGTTCATTTGATTCAATCAAAGGATTCAGTGTGCATGTTTTTCTTTGTGCCTTTCACATCAGGTTCAAAAGAAATCTATTAGAAAAATGCACTGCATATTTATTTTATTACATCCGTTCAAATGATATATCAAATGAAATATTGTCAACATATTTTATGAAGTCTTTTTCAGAGTAGAAGTGTTCATCTTTATGTAGATGAAAATCAACCAATTGTGTTTATTATTATCGTTTTCAGCCAGTGATTTGACCAAGTTCGTTCCCTGTTCCATTCCAGGCTTGACAGCGTACTGGGCAGTTTTGCGACCTATGCGCGTCTGAAGGGTCGCTACGATGATGACTGGATAGACCGACTGAACCATCTGTACACCACCATCATCCTCATCATCTTTACCATCGTCGTGAGCACCAAGCAGTACGTGGGTGAGCCGATACACTGCTGGTGCCCCGCCCAGTTCGAAGAAAGTCACGTAAGTCTACCCTTGTTCCATTTTGCTACGAAAAGATGTTTTGTTGCATATTCGAAAAATTATAATAATATGTTGATTTGATATAATATAGATTGGAAGAATATTATTACATCATGTTATATTATGGCAGTTTCATAACATAACACCGTGGACGAATGGGTTTCTGTATGTTTTTATAAAATGATTTTATATGTGTGTATGCATGTGGTTATGTGCGAGGGTATGCTTGTGTGTTTGTGTGTAAGAAGTGTGCGTGGGTGCATAGTTGTGTCTGTAGTTGTGTATGTATGTATGTAATTGTGTGTGTGTGGGGGGGGGGCAAAAGTTGTGTCGGTAGTGGTGTAGGTATGTAGATAATTGTGTGTGTGTGGGGGGGGGGGGGGGGGCTGCTTATGCAACTAGTGTTGAAAAAGAAGCGACCCAACACGTCAACATGGCTAATTAAAATAATATGACGATTTAATGTTAGTTCAAAATTACAAGTTCGGACAGAGGTTTTTTTTGTTTTAGAAGAAGGGAAAAGTAAAGAATAGTTTTGTTAATAACGTTTTAACTGGATATACAGAAAAGTGAGGGAAAAAAACAAGTATGCGAAATATAGTAGAAATCGGTGAAAGACAAATGTGAAAGATAAATGTTGTTTGTTGTACACTTGAATAGCCTCAGTGATGTTGAAACTCGAAGATTGTAGTAGAAAACAGCATCATACATCATTACGATAGTAAAGAAAAGGGGGAGATAATGCTAGGAAAACACATTATGTGCAAGGAAAGAAGCAAAAGTGCAAGGCAGAATGACTAGAGAACAGCAGAATTATAGTAATAGTAATAATAATAATAATAATAATAATAATAATAATAATGATAATAATAATAATAATAATAATAATAATAATAATAATAATAATATTAATAATAATAATAATGATGATGATAATAATAATAATAATAAATAAAAAATTTTATACGTGACAAAATAGTAAAAGGAAAGAGGAAGATGATTCTTGAAAAGCAGAATATACGTCACATGATGTGGGTTTTTCCCCCTTTTTATTTGGGGGGGGGGGGGGGGGTTGACTGTTTGCGTTGACCATATGCAACCGTTTCTTCACTGCAAAAGAGGAGGGGGGAAGAAGGCTTCCAAACCACTTGAGACGAGCGAGTTCTCTTATCTTATCTTGAAGCAATTAAATCTCTACAAACTCTTTCAGATCCCTAATTATGCCACCAGAGATTCGAGGACTCTAGCAAACTATTTGTAGTATACTGACGTTGTCAGTTATTTTGATCTCTAAAGATCGGTCCTAAAATATCTTCCAAGAAAAGTACTTGTGAGTCGCTTTAAAAAACGGAGGGTTCCGGAACCATTATTTTCAAAGAAGCTCAGAACGCGACCAGGCTTTGTCTTCCTTATATTTCAGGACAGTTCATTGACACTGATTTCTTGTGTGTGTGTGTGTGTGTGTTTGTGTGTGTGTGTGTGTGTGTGTGTGTGTGTGTGTGTGTGTGTGTGTGTGTATTTGGATTTGGGTGCTTTCTTTTTTTCTTTTTTTATGTGCCGACGATAGGGACTGTATTTCATCATGGAATACGTGACCTAAAATGTTTTTATTTTATTACTGTTGGAAGATTATATCTCTCTTTTAGGAACTTTCCTGAATTCGCTTTTGCGCAGTTTCTGTTTCTTGAAGTCTCATTTGACAAATGTTCTAAGCAAAAGGTCAGCTGCTTTTTATTTTCAAACCGTCTTTCATAAGTAATCTTGGACCTTTTTCAGCTACTCTGCTACAAAACAATATCGTTCCTATTAGAAATAGAATAAAAAACAGCCTCACAATTAAAAATGGACTTTGAGCTGGGATGTTATAGTGCAGAAGCACTTTTATGATTACTTTGCAATCCTGCACATCCATAGAATGGCATTTAGGACAATGCTGGTGGGAGGAATAAACAAATCAGAATAATAATAGATGCCTTTCAAAAGTTTATCTTTGGAATATCACAACAATGTATATATATACATATATATATATATATATATATATATATATATATATATATATATATATATATATATATATATATATATATATATACATATATATATCATATGTGTGTATTACGCAAGATGGATAGACAGACAGACTGAAAGACAGACAGAGAGAAAGACAGACAGACAGACAGACAGACAGACAGACAGACAGATAGACAGATAGATAGATAGACAGATAGATAGATAGATAGATAGATAGATAGATAGATAGATAGATAGATAGATAGATAGATAGATAGATAGATAGATAGATAGATAGATAGATAGATAGATAGATAGATTGTTGCTATTGCGTACGATATACGACAGTAAATCACGGGGGTTTTGATAATGGAAAACATAACGGTTATTGGAAATTTTAAAGTCATGTTGGGAAATAGTTTGAGTTATCTTTATCTGTGTGCGCTGTTTATTGTTCAGCTAGTTGATCTGCTGAACAATTGTTTCACCAACTGATTCTCTGACTAATTAATGATATGCAGTTTCAGAACCAAGACTTGAGGATATAAAAAGATTTTGTAAAAGCAAGGCTTGAGACTTTTTTTAAAAATTGTCCAAATCATGAACAAACGGAGTATCAACTCACCTTTAGTGACTTGCAAAACATGTCGAGTCTATATAGATCTATTGTCTCGTCTGGACGATGGTACGCCCTATAAAATGTGTTGCCTCAATCTTGACCATTGTCTAACCCCGCACATGCAGGTAGAGTACACGAACAACGTGTGTTGGGTCAGCAATACTTTCTGGGTCCACTTCAAAAACCAACCACCCCGAGACTGGAACCTCCCCTACGACTCAGAGATACAGTACTACCAATGGGTTCCCATGATCCTCCTATTTCAGGCGTTGCTTTTCAAGGTATCCTAGTATCCCAGCATGCTCAGTTGTCTCCGTTCTGTGTGGGTGTCGCTGGGCTTGAGAGAAATACTCGACGTCCGTGTTGTTTCACGTCCTGTCTTATAGCGTCCGTCAGTTCAGAATGACGTCATCGACAGATCCGCCCGGCAAGGATTGGTGCAGCGGGTGGACATAAACGAGGAAGGCAGTTTTCAATAACAATTTACCGGTCCAGAAAGTGTCCGCCATTTCTCAATTTGACGCGTTAATACTCTCGTACTGAGACAAAACAGTTTCATAACTTTTTTAATATGCTTTACTTTTGCGTTCATCGCTTCATACTTTCGCCTCCATCAATGCACGTGTGAATTATGCGTTTTCTATTCACAGGTGTGTAGGCCTACGACAAGATGCTGATTACTTCTAATGACAAATGTACTTGATTTCAGACTCATGTCTCTAACAGGTTTCTATCAGACACACTGAGTCCTCCCTGAGAATGGGTCGAAAACAAAAGTGGCATATGTGTGTGTGGGGGGGGG